CCACAACCGCAAGATACATCAAAGCACACACAAACACACACACACACACATAGCAATACATACACAGTCACGCCCATTCACAACAAATCACGCACACCGAGCAGAGCATTCACAATTAACTTCAAGCCAAAATGCTATCCTTGGGGGAGAATCGTTGTTGCTCCTGCTGCTGCTGCTGATGTTGTTTTTGTGGTTGTTGTTGTTGTGACTCTCGGTTACCAGCGTCAAACAACTTTAAATATTAATATGCCTTGAGCCAACAACAATGCCACTTCCACTGCCACTGCTGCTGCCTCTGCCGCTGCCTCTGCTGCTGCGGCTGATGATGATGATGACAATAATGGTGCTCGTGCTGCGGATGCTGCTGATAGGACAGGACACAAACAAAGCGCCAAGGACATTGCCGAGACATTGACGACACTTTTGGGGTGTGTGTATGTATGTTTGAGTGTGTGTGTGTGTGTGTGTATGTGTTCGCCGTGCTGCAGGTGGTGCTGCTAATGGCAAAGTGTCATGCTTAAACACACTTCAAGCGCACAATGAGCATATTCTGAGCCTGGCAGCTTGGCAGTCCAGCCAATTCATATACCCTGGCCAGGGGCCTTTGTTGTGGGCAACAGGTGACTTGAAGCGGCTGCATTAAGTGAAATATTTCGCGTCGGCCTGGCATGCTTCACCAATTGCTGCCAGCCGTCTAGGTAGAACAATGGCAGACAATACGCTTTGCACACACACACACACAGAAAGGCACATAGCTGCATAACAATCTAAGCGCTTTGGCTGAATATTGCGCATACGCCGCGCTTACCTGTTGCCCTTTGCGGCATTCACGCTGCCTAATAAAAAAATAAAATAAACTGAGGTGCCACATGCCACACCTCCTACGACTCCGCCTACAAAAATGTTTTAAGAGGATTTGCAAGCAAAAAAAGAAAAAAGAAATAAAAGCAAACAACAAAGAAAAGGGAAGCACATAAAAAATATTTTTAAATGGTGAGAGAACCACGCAACGGAAATGTGAAATGCGCGTCATAATGATGCGCTCAAAGCAGACTCCATTGTGAAGGGGCAACCACAGATAACAGCATCAGCATCATCAGCAGCAGCAAAAAGAAACGAGTTAAATTCTTCTTCTGCCTGCCTTCAAGTGCAAAAGTTGACAATTTTCCCAGTTCTATAAAGCAATTTGAAACCGGTAAAGGCGCAGCTAATGTAAAAGCAAAATATTTCTATTTCGCTTTGGCTGCTGCAAAGGAGTCACAAATAAAATGGTTTCATAACATTCGTAATAAAAACATAAATCAAAATTAAAATTGCTCAAGTTGCTTAAATTGATAATCAATAGCTTTAAAGCAAAGCCTCCATGCTTTTTTTCCAATTCTGTATTATTCGGCTAGAAAATAAATTTCTAACCTCTGCTTTGTTAACTATTTATTCGCAATGCTTGTGTTCAATAAATGCCCAAAGCTATGCTCTCCGTTGTACTTAACCAATAGTTTAAATACCCTGGTTGACAAAAGACTTAATGCTCTTAGTAACCAGTAAAGGCAGAGTTTTCAATGAATAAATAATAATTTAAAAGAATTAAATTGTGGCCTTACTGTCTAACATAGATATAAAATATTTTATTTTATTTATTTATTTATTTATTATTATTATTATTATTATTTTTTTATTTTATTTATTTATTTATTTATTTATTTATTTATTTTTTTTTTTGCTTCATTGTTTTGGCCTAAATGCCTTTGATTTTCTTCATAATTTTCTAGATTTCTCAATTTTTAATTTACATATTTATATTTAATCATTTTATTGTATTTCTGTACCCTGAGACTTCAGCTCTGAGCCTAGGGATTTGAGTGCCAGTGTTAAGTGTGAAAACAAAAATAATTTTCTTCCAAGAATTATGTTGTCTTAGCTACAATATCAATCGACATTTATGAAATAAATGTTTAAAAATAAACAGAAGTTCTTATTCTGAGAAATGTAGTTCTCTTTCCACAGAAACTAATATACAGCAAAGAGAACTGCTTAAAGGAAAGAGATCAAATATATCTAAAATTTATATCGAACTCAATATATATACAACCCAAGCTTTTTCTCCACAAATTCTAAGAATATTCCAAATGAAACAAAGACTTTTAAAAAACTTTTGCCCTGTGCTCCAAGGATAATATATTTTTATCCATTAAAAATCTCTCGCTATCGCCCTATCTTTTTCTCTCACTCTCTCTCTATCTTTAGTCTCTTTTAAAGAGCAGTACATCATTAGCTTTGAAGTATATAAACAGTAACAGCGCAAGCACAGCCGTAGAACGTATGCGAGCCATTAGATCACGTTATATCATTAGGGAAAAATGAAGGCACGTACGTGTCTCCATCGAACAGGAAGCAGCCAAAGTGCAAAAAACAATTCAAAACAACAACAGCAACAGCAACAACAGCAGCAGCAACAACAACTGAAAGAGCAATTAAAAAGTTTTTGGCTTTTTGCTGGAACAAAAAAAGAGGACTACAACTAGAACCTGACAACACAGAAAATGCAATAAATAATTTTTAATATAAATTCGTAAGGGGCTGTGTGCTGGACGAGTGCCAGAAATGCCCAGCTATCCAGACCCTAGGCCCTCATACCTCATACCCCCAAACCAAGGCCTCTACCAGACTCGACCAGAGGAAACCCCGTACAGACAGGCACGTAGCCCCCAAAATTATACCAGGGGCACTAAATTAAAAGCTAAACAAAACAACGAAACACTGAAAAATGTTCATTTACCAGTTGGCTATTCCTCATTCCCATAAGCATCATCGTTGTCTACCTGATGATGAAAATGATGATGATGATGACGATGATGGTGATGATGATGATAGAGTGCATACATTTAAGCGCCGCAATTCATATAGAAATTTTGCTGTTGGCCAGCTTGGCATTTGCAGTTGGAGCTCAACTTTTCAATAAACGACTCACAACCAGCTCTGTGGCCGAAAAACAATTTAGCAGAGTTAAGAAACATCGGAAGTGGGGCACTGGCTGCGTCTATTGCTAAAGGTGTTGAGCTCCAGCCAGCCAGGTTACCCGAACAATTGGATTTAAAGTGCATAGGTCAGTTGACGCGTCGTTCAGTCTATGTGTTTCACATTTTTGCAATTTTAATTGTACAACTAACAAATTTACAGCAGCTCCTTCCCTACCTCCCTCCCACCCTTCGGCCAACGATAACAACCACCCAACAGCTCTGCAGCGTTAGCTCATGGGTAAATTCCATTTACGGCAGAGCAACAAAGTTTATCCAACCAACTGGCCAACATTGTGATTCCACAGCGTTGGCCCGGCACGTTTCCCAGTTGCTGTTGATTTTCAGTTTGTTTTTATGAGCAGTTAACAAATGGAGACTTTTTTTTTATTGCGAGCTAAGCTTCTGTGACTGTGACATACCAAGCTTTAGTTATTAAAATGCAGAAATATTTAATACCAAAATATCTAAGCGTAAATGAAGAGCATGAATTATTTTTTTTATTTTTTATTTTAAACTTTTCTTTATTAAATATTGTTGATGCTTTGAATTCATTTCTTGAATATTACTTGCAGACTGTAAATCAGCTCGAATATCCTTTTATTTTCTAGTTTTTATTCTCAATATAAAGTACTACAAATCATATACAATAATATATAGAAGGATATCGAATATCCTTTTATTTTCAACCTTTTATTCTCAATATATAGTACTACAAATCATATACAATAATATATAGAAATAATATATATAAAAAATAATTTTATATTTTCTAGTTTTTTTTTTTTTTTTATATTTGTATATTTATATTTTAATAAATAAATTATTTATTTATTATTTTTTTTTTTTTTTTTACATATTTTATTTTATTTAAATTTTTGGTTTTCTCTATAAAATTTTAAGCAATTTACTTATTGGATCCGTCCGTCACAGGGTATTTCTCTAATCGCCTACATATTATCTATGTGGTCCACCATTACTTTCTGCATTCTGCATGGTAACTCTTAGGCGCCGCTCCCCTGAGGCTTGCAGTTATTTTTGCTCAGTTCCGGGTGCTATACCCACATCTATGTATGTATGTAAATGCTTGCTCTGCCAGCTTATCAGGGGACAAAAGTGCATGAGCATTTGCCTCAATTCGGGTTAATTGTACGGCCATTGCAGAGCTGACCAGGCACCGCCATGCCCGGTGTCTTCCTGTGTGCCTCACCTCTACACTGACAGCATTCATTGCGATTGCACGAACGAGCGTTTACATACGGTATTTGCAAAATTTTGTATTGCCATTGTTGTTGTTCTTGTTGTTATTGTTGCTATTGTTGCCACATGTCATTAGTTGGTTACGGGCTGCTGTGGAGCACCCACACCCCTCCCCCTCCTTCACCCATGCTGCGTTACTAGCACCCCTAGGTGATGCAACCCCCTGGGTAGCCTGGCATTTTAAAGCAAATAATGAAATGCGGCAATAAATGGATAACTGCTCCAATTTCTGCTCTTTTTGTGTGCTCACATATACATGTATATATATGTAACAATTTCAGGTGTAACAACTACAAATAAATGTAAGTTTTTACAAATATTTGGAAAGTAGTTTATAGACCAGAACAGACCGGACCAGAGAATAGAACTAAGTAAAATAATTGAAAGTTTCATGCACATAAATTCCTCTAGCAAACAGAGTTTGTGTGCTAAAACGCTCGAATATGAATGGATACAAAATTTTACTGCAATAATTGGGCTTATTAAGTATTTTTGTATTACATTATACAATTAGGAGGGCAAATTGAAAATATTTTTATTAGTTTGAAAATACTTGAAGCAAATCACGAACTGTATGCGTAGCAATTGAAAACTCCAAAGCAATAAAAATTTATTAGACGCAAAATCATACGAAAATACTTGATAAATTCACTACCTAAATCATTTCTCTTACTTAGCATGTATTCAACTCTGATTAACCCGAAAACATTTCTCTGTCATTTTCAGTTCTGGGCAGCCTACGTGCCCTGTGAGGCACAGCATCGCGATGCAGTGCAGCTGACGCTCGAGCAAATTGATGTGATCAAAAGGCTAACCGATCGATATTCGCCGCAGCTAACCACCTGTACCTCGGCGCAGGGTAAGTACTTTCCCAAATGCCAAATACCCAATCCAAATCCCAAAAGCGAACGTAAAATATGTAACCAACGCACGAGCCCAGTTTAGCTACGGAGAATCTGCAGCTGAAATGCCAAAAAGCGCTCAGAGGCCACGCATTCAATTTGCTGCGATACCGGAAACTTTTCACGAGTTGTTCAAGAGCATCTAAATGCACAAAAAAAAAAAAAAAAAGCCAAAAATACAGGGGGAAAAAAAGGAAGTGTAATTTTGAAGAAATGTAAAAGCAGAGCGAGTCGCAGCAGTTGCTGCACTTGCAGCAGTGCTCCAGACTTGCACTTGAGTCAACTGCTTACCGCGTGCCATATTTTTGCGCCATTTCCTTTGATATGCCGCACTCACCTAGTTAACAGCGGGCGGCAGTCCTTCGCTCAACGGGTCGCCACTGATATTGCAAGCAGCCACAACGAGTGCAGCTGCAACTGCAACTGCCTGCGAAACTTTGACTTATGTTCGAGTCTCCGGCCAGTATTCGAGTTGTTGCTGCTGCTGCCGATGCTCCTGGTTTTGTTTTCCGTTTTGCATTTTGATTTGCTGCCATAGGACTTGGCAATCTTTTGGCATTCTTTTAATGCCCTGTAAAATGAGAAAAAGGGTATGCAGGGCATGCTCTTAAAAGATAGAGAGCAGTTACTGGTTGAGGAAATAATGATGATGATGATGTTATACAGAATCTAAATCCTTGTACATCAATACATAATTAACAAGTTAGAGTTAATATAAACTTAAATCTAACCTTAGGTTAAGCACTGGCAGAAGGGGCCTTCGTCTTGATAACTAGATTTTATTTTTTATAAAGCCTCAAAAATTGATTACGAGAATATTTAATCAATTTTCATCTATGAAATGCATAAGTTAGTAGCTAATCAAGCTGTTAGTGCTATAAAGCTGATCTTAAATTCTTCTCTATTGATATATATCTATCTGCCTTTTCGACCAGGGTATACCCAAGCACAGCGCCTTCGCCTTAATATAGACACTCCCAAAGCTATGTTTTTATTTTTGGTATTTGTTTGCTGCTCTAAAAGGAAAACCGCTGCGAAACAAACAAGAAATCGCTTCCGGCATCGCGCGTTGAAACATTTATGCAGCCGTTAATGGAAATGTCAATAAATCACATGGCCATAAAAATCATGCACAGGAAGAAAACTTTTTGCTCGAAATTTACGAGCGGAAATGCATGCCCCAAAAAAAAAAAAAAAATAAAGGATATAAATATATATATAGATATACGATATATATGTATGTACTTGCAGGCAGTGCTAAATTGTGATAAGAGAGCCCCATATGTTTAACCGAATGCACGCACTCTAAACAGCAGCACGCACTGGTGGCAGCAGCCAATGGCTCTTGAATGCAGGAGCAATGCAAACAGAACAAAAATCGACTGCAAAATTCCGTTGGGCGAGCGAAAAGTGCAGCAGGAATTGCAAGCAAACTTTACAACGTTGCAGCAAGCACAGTTTTAATCGCTCCAACTCTGTAAGGGTGTGTGCGTGTGGGTGTGTGTGCGTGTGTTGAGTATGCTCGAGCTTGAATGGAAATTGGCAAATGGAGGAAAGTATTCGATAGCCCAGTTAATAAACAATTTGTAGGTCATATTTACTAAAGCACTGAGCATTGAAGGCAGCTTTAGCTCAAATCATGTTGCAAAAATTGGCTATTGCCCCAATTCAGATCATCGACAGGCTTTATTTAAAGTACTAATCGATTTCCGCTTACTATGCAGCAATCAGCCCTCTAACAAGTATGAAAGATGAGATGCTTAAAATCTATTATATAAAAGGGCATTTAGCAGTCATTGCTTAGTTTCAAGCCAAGCGAAATGATTTCACATTTACACTATTTCGAGGATTCGCAGAGCCAACGCACATATGTAAGCGCCCAATCGATTCACTGAGCCAAGAATGTTAACCACTTGACCGTAGCTGGACTGCAGCTGCTGCAGGCAGCAAATAAAACCAACATATTATTTCCAGCTGCACGAAAATAAATGCACTCGCCTGGAATTATAGTAGCTGCACACGCATATCCTGTAAATACAATGTCCACCCAAAAAAGGAATGAGCGAGCAGGAGGGAGAGGGCGGGTGGGAGAGCTACTGCTAGTCTTAGTCAGATGTTGCTGACTTCCAAAGTGATTGTAAAAATGCAAAGCTAACGAACTGAAACAGAACGCGACGTCGAGTCGTCGACAACTGGCATGTCATGTCCGTCCGTCCGTCCGTCCGTCAGTCAGTCAGTCAGTCAGTCAGCAAGCCCGTTTCCCTAGTCACAATCCTAGCTGTTGCTGCTGCTGCTGCTGCTCCTGCGAATGTAGTACAACACATGTATGTCCAATTGAGCCCTGGCTGCTCCTTGGCTACCATCAAGGCAGTGTGAAGTGAGTATTGCATTCGCGTTGGATAAACACAATGAATGTGAAAACTGAAAACCAAAACTGAGTTTACATCACTCCTCTATTTTATTTATTTTTTTTTATTTTTTTTTTCGTTCTTCCTTGATTTTCCACTCACATTTGTTGTCTCACCGGGTTCTGTCTCTGCTGCTTGCTTCTAACATTTGCTACTTTACATTTTTACCGTGTCGATGTGTGAATGCCTTTCATTCGCAATTTTCAATTTCCACCTTCGAAATGTGTAAACTTCAATTTACACTGAGCTGCCGCATTGCATTGAGCTAACGGGGGAGCCAAGAACCAAAATTGCATTCGATTTGTAAAGCCTTTGACATTTTCCTAGCATGCGCTGTCCACGGAGCATTTGGATTTTCTAGCTCAACTTGAATATGAGAAACTAAAAAGAGATTCGAATAAGATTTATGCTGAAGCGGGGCTAAAAAAGAAATTCAATTTCGATTGGCAAATAAGAAAAAGAAGCTTTAATAATATTCATATACATCATATACAATCCTAATTAGGAGTAAGATCTAGCAGTATTATCAAATTTTTTAAATATGATGAAGCTTCTAAACATATCTTAAAATATAAATAATTTTAGTTTCATATCGAGCAGTTGTTATTCCTCGAATTCAATCCTCAATTCAGTGTAGTTCAATGTCAATCACTGATTCCATCTGAAGTTCGGTAAGTGCATTTCAAGTTTTGCTTGTGGAAATTGGGTAGATTTTGATGCCCTTGCGTTTGGTTTATTGCGTCAAGTGGCATTTGGTTGGGATTTTCAATTTGAAATGTGTTGGAGCATTCGTTTCTCTCCATTGCCTTGAATCGCATCCGATACACCGGCCATATATTATACATTACGTTTTGGGGCCATGGTCGATTCTTGCTGCTAGCAACGGTCACAGACAATTACATGCCGGACCAGCATCCAGCTTCCTTTCCAGAGTCCTTTGCCCTGACAATCGCTACAAAAATTGAACTTCAGCTCACGTGGCGCATTTTAGTGCCTTTGGTAGCATTTTTCCTTTGACTGCCACAACAACAACAGCAACAACAGCAACAGCAATAATAACAACGGCCGTTGCTGCTGCTGTTGCATTAAGGGTCTTGCCTGAATATTTGTTTATTTGCTCCATATTTTAGGGTTTTACGGCAACGACGACATCGAGCAGCTATTGTGGCAGGTATTTGCTTGCCTGGCTCCCATAACAATAGCCAAGCAGCAGCAGCAGCAACAGCAGCAGAAGCCATGGCAGCAGCAACAACTACAACAGAGAAAGGCAGGGCTACAAGTGCGTCCTTTTGATTTTACGCAGCTTATTTACTTATTGCCTGAAAACTTGCAAGCAGCATTCTAGCAGTCCGTATCCTGTAACGTGTGCCCCATCGGTTCCACTTTGGCGTCCCTTTGTGGCAAATTTATTGACTCGCTTACCCTGTTTGTGGCATTTGAAATGTTATTACAATGCTTGATTTGAATGCAGCGACAAATTATTGAATCGCTTACCGTGCCATGTATATGTATGTGTGTGCCATGACGAGCTCTTTGATTTAAAACAAGCAATTCAATATAACTAGGCGCACTTCTAATCAAATTGCCTAAACAAATTGTTAAATGCTGAATTCGATTGGCAGCTCGATTGAGTTTGGCAGTAATCGACAATCGAAAATTGGTAGCTTCCAACACTATTTTGGGCAGTCACCAACACGGCTGGATAATCGATGACGTGTACTTTGGCCGTCGCCGGGCTATAAAAGGCCGGCTTTCTGGCAGTCGAATTCAGTTGTCTCCCATCGCTCAGCTGGTTCTAGTAACTGGCTAGTGTGGAGCAATTCAATTTTTTTTTTTTTTTTTTTTTTTGGGTTAAAATCTAAATGAGCTGTTGCTGGAAATAGAGCAACTGGCACCGCAAAAGTCAGTTTTTAACTACTTCTGCTTGCACAATCTTCGGATTGATGTAGTGTCGCTCCAGTACAAATGCCCAAATTCGGTTCTACCGATGGCGTTATCCAAAAGGGCCTATATAGCTGCCACAAATATAACGTGAGCTGTGGCTGGAAATAGAGCAACTGGCACCGCAGAAGTCAGTTCTTAACTGATTCTGCTTGCACAATCTTCGGATTGATGTAGTGTCGCTCCAGTACAAATGCCCAAATTCGGTTCTACCGATGGCGTTATCCAAAAGGGCCACAAATATTACATGAGCTGTTGCTGGAAATAGAGTAACTAACACCGCAAAAGTCAGTTTTTAACTACTTCTGCTTGCACAATCTTCGGATTGATGTAGTGTCGCTCAGTACAAATGCCCAAATTCGGCTCTACCGATGGCGTTGTCGTCTGCTGCAATGCGTGCAACTAAGTTGACGCTTGACGAAGTCGGCAGACAAAAAATAATATATGAATGATTCGGATTAGACTGGGTCCTCACCCAACGCATTGGTAGTTGGAAAGGTCGTGTTGAGTCGTTTTCTTTTATGCACACCACTTGATTTGTTTCATCTGTTTGAAGATTGGGTGCTTGATGATAGAGCACATATTACATTTTTTTTCAATTAAATTGTTCACAAGCTGCTAGTGCTTATCGTTTGGCGAGGACTGAAATGCTGACAGCATGCGTTGATCCATGGTTTCTCGAAGAGTTTGGCTTGGATTTTTTGCGCACGGGTTTTCGTATTAGTGTATCCAGTAGGAGATGAGGATGGTGTGGGTGTTTATATTACTGTATCTTTTTTTTTTTTTTTTTTTTTTTTTTTAACAACGTCGAAACAATGAAAATGCAAGTAAATTTTTACTTGTCTTATTGAATAGACCGTTTTGCATTGCGATGTATTTTTTTTTTCTTTTTCTTTGCCCTTGGTTATTCGAGGGTGTAATGGAGTTTCAGTCAGTTTCGCCTGATTAATGTGTAGGTTTCTAATGTGAAAGATACGCAGTTTCTAAGCATGTAGTGAATTTAAAACGATATAGACTGGGTGACAAAAGTAGTCCAACTGTTTTAACCTGGCTATCCTTGATTCTTTAGTCGGCAAGTTAGCTGATTTGGAAGCATTTTCATTAGTGGTGACACTTGAGTAGAATTCATCATCGTAGTCTCATCATCGGATGCTGTCAATCACCCGATATAGTTTTGGTCTTCCTGCGCTTCTTGGCCGAACGTTTGGTAGAGGAGGAGAAGCTCACATATTTTTGTATTAGTGTATCAAGGAGGAGAGGAGGGTTTATATATAATCGAAAAAGACAATTTTTTTTTTTTTTTATTAAATTGCTAGTTGACCCGGCGAACTTCGTATCGCCAAATATTCGTGCGAATGGATCGTTTTGACAAATCGTAAAGAAACTTGTCCATGTTGTCGCTGGAAGTGTTTAGGCACGTTGAGCAGCATTCGCCTCTGTAAAATACACTCTCTGACCGTTCTCTAGATGGTTGAATTATCTAATAGTTTCTGGTTTTGCTTTGTGATGTATATTTTTATTTTTGCCATCGTCATGGACGCTTTAGATATGGTGTTATTTCATCGGAGATGATGTATTTATTAAAAATCGATCATATTTATATCTGGGATGGAATCCGGTGTATTTTTTGATATCTTATCTCGTAAGTCGGGAATTTTTTTGGGCAGCAAATCTATTCCATTAACTGATGTCACAGTCAATCGCAGAGCTTGGTAGGCTCAGGCTTTTCTTGCGTAATTTGTTATCCTGCAAGGCCTTTTTAATTGTTGCTTTAACTCTTCGCAGACATCATCGATGCCCACAAGAACCAGCAGCTATGCTCGCTGACCGGCGTCGAGGGCGGCCACTCGCTGGGTGGCTCGCTGGCTGTGCTGCGCACCCTGTACGCCATTGGAGTGAGGTATATGACGCTGACATCCACATGCCATACGCCGTGGGCCGACTCGAGCTACGCGGACGCGCCAACCTTCAACATGAAGCACGGCGGACTCACTATATTTGGCAAGGTAAGTGCCGGCCATCATAGCCTTTATTGTCTGTCCTCTCCTATAGCTGGTTTAATGCTAATTAGTCGGGGACGGTTCAGCGTTCAGCTCACTTTAGTTCGGTTTTGGGGCAATTCTCTCGTGTGGCTTTTAGGCGGATTTTGCGGCGCCAAGGATGAAGCGTGCTTCTCAGTCCTTGCAGCCTGCGGTCAGCCACAGTCGACGCTTTTGTTGGCTTAGTCATAAATGTCTGTGTGTGTGTGCGCGCGCGCTCGTTCGCTAGCATGTGGGCGTATACTTGTGGCGCGAGGGGTGGCATATTTAAGTGGCTGAGCTGCGTGCCGGCGCCATTTTGGGGGCGCCACGGCTTGTGCCCCTAATGGGTCAACAGCTCTCAAATTAGGTGGCTACAGCAATTTGCAAGAGCCGCGCGGCTTTACGCCGGATTATCGTCAGGCTGAAGGTACACAAATATCTTAAATTAACTACGGCCCGCCAGCCACAGCGCAGGCTGTCTTCAATACCTGTCGAGCGGCTCGTTATGTCCAGGTAGCTTATGATAAGCTCTATAGACTGGAAGTATGAATGTGGTAAAAATTGGAAGCAACTTGAGAAAAGCAAAAATGATCAGCGTTTTATCATATGAAAAACTCCATTTAGTGTTGGGGTTTATTGTTGTAGTCTTAGTTTTGGTAGTGGATTATTGTCTTCATTTAATACGTATTTAAATTTAAAACTCGACTATTTCGGACGTGAATTTTGAGCCGTTGATTCAAGTAGAACTCCTTCAGTGAACCGTATTGTATTGCTTGATCTGCTATCACTACTTGACATTGATCGTCTATCATCATCAAGCTTACTAAACTGTATAGGTTCGGAGTTTGCATATAAAAATGCAGGTTAAAGTAATATGGTAAAACTTGAGGCCAACTGCGCAATGTAAAAAAATGTGCTGGGATGATAGTGTTTTACCATATAAGAACGTCTAATTAGTTGAGGTTTATTGTTGTAGTCTTGGTAGAGGATTAATTTCTAAATTCAATATTTCTTATCTCGTATATGGGTTTATTGCTGACGCTTTTGATGTGTTTGTCCGCTGAGTGCAGCGGAAACGGTAATCGGTAGATCGTTATTTTGGCTTTTCAATTTTTTAGTCAGCCAGGGCAGGGCCTACTGTGTACGGAACGATTTGTTTACATATAAAAATTCTTTGACATATGCTCGTGTAATTATTTCGAAATTCGAAATTACCTCGAGAGTAGCGCCAGCCGCCAACCACTTCAACAGCAAACAGCCGTCACAGCATTCTTGGCGTGATGATGATCAAACATCATAATGATCAACTATTTGCTTTAGTTGTTGCTGCTGTTTGCTCTTCATAGCGTGTGTCGGGGGCCACGACGCTGCGCTTCCTCTTTGGCTGTGGGCTATTGCCAAGAACTATTTAGTGCATACGGAAATTAAATGTATGAACGTGACAATTGGGGGGAGGAAAATACACAGCTATAACAATAGCAGCACAATAAAATCCCAGAGGCCAAAACCTATACGTGAAATTATAGCAGGAAATGTTTATTACGTTTACTGCAGTCATTAAAAGTCGGGATATATCTGCTAGCATCAGGCAATATAAATCATAATTTTGTTTGGCATTGCCCTGCCAATTAAATATGGAAATTAAAATTTTTGGCTATAATCAAAAACAATAACAAAAACAAAACAACAAAAATCAACGTCACTTCCTCATTTAAATAACGGAATTTTCAATTACACATCGCAGAGAAAAAGAAAAAACAATAGGCGAAAATGAAATACGTAATGGAAAGTGAAAATCCTCCAAAGCGCATGCGCCATGAGCACCTAAAGCTAAGAGAGAGCCGGAGAGAACGAGAGCAGCCGCCAGCTGCTGTATCGGGCGAAATCGTTTCTATGTGGTAAATGGAAATTTTTCGCCTCGACGAAATGAGCGGCAATGGGAAAACAGAAATTTTCATTCATACTATAAGGTGAATTGCACAGTGTGTGACGGACAGCCAGCCAGCTGGTTCAAGAAAGGAGTGGAAGCAATTATGGCTAATTAGATATTCTATAATAATAAATATAAGAGAATCGAAATAAGTAAACTGAACTTGTTGTCTAGGCAATTATATAAATAATACTACTTTTAAAATATATGAAAATTGTGAATTAAAGTTGGAAGAACATAATACGAACATTATAATATACTTAATTTCAAAGTGAAATATTTTCGTAAAGATCATAAATTGTTTTTGCAGAGTTTATTAGAAGCAAAATATGTACTGAAAATTCATTTTAAAATTTTGTTTTTAAATTTAATTTATAAATGTAAATCAAAATTAAAATAAAATATAATTTCAAAAAATGTAATAGCGAAATTTTTATTTGTTGAAATTTTTTTATTTAAGTTTATTTTTATTTTTTTTTCCTTAGAACAACTTTTTATTTCTTACAGGTACTTTGATTTAAAATTTTGTATTTGATAATCCTTTTTTAGGCATAAAAATAATTAGTAGTTGGTTTTCAACCACTGTTTGCTCTTAACATTCCGTTCCACCCGCATAGCTAAAAATACCCGTCACGCACCCACGAAGCGCCAGTCACATGTGCCATGGTGAAAATGTTGCTAGGCTGTCATTCTCTCTCACTCTGCCTCTCGCGCTCTCTTACTCTCTCACACGTTGGGGCCGTTTGTTCGTTCGTTCGGCTCATGTTGAGGTGAAAGCGCAAAACATCGCGCAACGCTCGAACAGTCGTCCACGAAATTCGCCCCAACGAGGCAGCTGCTGAGCTCCAAATGGTAGAGACGAGCCAAACACAGTCGTGCAGTGTGTAGTGAAGAGAAGCCAAGCGAAGAGCCGAGAGGGAAACACAACAGCAGCAAGCGAAAAAAAAAAAAGAAAAATACAGAAAAATAGCAGGAAAAAGTCAGCTAAACGCCTAGAGAATTAGCCAACAATATACAGTGTGTGCATTATATTTATTTATAACAAATTCCGTTTAGCGCGAAGCATTAAAAGGTGAACAAATACCAAAGATTTTTACAGTTACTAACAAGCTAACATACAAATTTAAGGCAAATTCCTAACGAAAAGCAAAAGCAACGAGAAACGTCGAAGAAGCATATGCAATGCTAAATAATAAGCAACTACTAATCCAAAAGCGAATGCTGTGCCAAGTGTACAAATACTAATCGGTTACTTCCTCCTCCTATACGCAACGACGCACAACCACCTACACACGCACACGCACCCATACACACACACACACACACACACACACACTCACACACACACTCACACTCACACATTCGAACCTACTCCCGCACACCCACTGATTGATGATGACAACACAGCAGCAACTAGAGGCAGCGGCAGCAGCAGCAGCGTCGACCGAGTCGGCGGCAGCAGCAGCAGCGGTGGACAACAGCAACACAGCCATGACAGCAGCAGCAGCAACAACGACCACAACAAAATCGGGTGGCAACACGACGAAGCAAAGCAAGCATAGGTCGAGGTCATCCGCTCGGTACGATGACGTGGAAAGGCAGCAGCGCAAGAGTCGGGCCATCGTCTCCATACCGAACACCATCAAGCTGAGCATGCTGAACAGCGGCTTGTTGTCCTTTGAGCGCATCAAGCTGGAGGCGCGGGACGAGAACAACTCGCTGTCGAAGACCATACCGAACGGGCCCATCGATGTGCGGCATTTTCTTAAGCTGTGTGATCTGCGACGCAAATTTCCCGTGCTCTATAAGCTGGAATTTCAAACGGCCGCCAAGGTGGAGACGAACACCTGTCGGCATGCGCTCAAGAAGAACAATCTGGAGAAAAATCAGAATCCCAAGTGCATTCCATATGACTACAATCGTGTTGTGCTGCAAAAGCTGCCGGGTGTGCCCGACTCAGACTATGTGAATGCCTCCTATATTGACAGTCTGCTCAAGCCGAACGCCTACATTGTCACCCAGGGTCCCGTCGAGGAGACGGTGAATGCCTATTGGCGCATGGTGTGGCAGGAGAACATCAGCGCCATTGTCATGCTGACCAAGACCTTTGACTTTGCCAAGGTCATGTGCGTGCAGTACTGGCCGCCCAACATGGAGGTGCACGAAACCTACGGCGATATACACATCAATATTGTGAGAGAGGAGCAGCTGGCCAACTTTCACATACGCACCTTTCGCCTCTACAAGAAGAACGAACAGGGTGAGGTCACGGATGAGCGGCTGATACTGCAGTTCCATTATACGGAATGGTATTCCCATTCCTGCCCCTTCTCCAATGCCCTGCTCGAGTTCAGGCGCCGTGTGCGTCTCGTTGTGGGCAACATCATCAAGGATGGCGACGACGCAGAGATGCGTGGCCCCATTTTGGTGCACTGCAGCGATGGTGGTGGACGCTCCGGCGTCTACATGTCCATCGATGCCAACTTGGAGCTGGCCGAGGAGGAGGAATGCTTCAATGTCTTTGGCTACCTCAAGAAGCTGCGGCAATCGCGCAAGGGTCTCGTCGAGAATGTGGAGCAGTACAAGTTCATATATGACACGCTGGAGGAACACATCATATGCGGCAAGACCTGGTTTCCCGTCTCCGAGCTGTCCGATCGGCTCAAGGCCAAGGCACGTCGCAATTCCAGCACCAAGATGAACGAGTACCAGGCCGAGTACGATCAGATCTGCAAGCAAACGCCACGATTTACGATCGGCGACTGTGCAGGCGGACATCGAGCGGATAATCGGGAGAAGAATCGCGATGTACTCTGCGTACCGCCGGACAACTTTCGTCCATATCTGACCAGTTTCCAGGGCAACGCCTTCACGGACTACATCAACTCGGTCTTTGTGGATGGCTATACCAAACCGCGCGAATACATTGTCACCGAGTGGCCCATGAAGCATACGCTGGGCGAGTTCTGGTCTCTGGTCTACGATCATGAGTGCTCTGCCGTGGTGGTGCTGTGTCAGCCGCCCTCGCAGTCCCAGCAGTATCCCTCGTTCTGGCCCAATAAATCCAAAATGGAGAAATACGGCCCTGTCTTCACCGTGCACTACGTGATGTCCAAGAGCTATACGAACATCAAGCAGTGGGAGTTCAAGATCAACAAGAAGATCGTTTCGCTGACCGAAATGATGGCGGGCGTCAAAGCGCCAACACGTACCGTCCAGCTGTTTCAGCTAACCTGCTGGCCCATGGGCCACAAGGTGCCGAGCTCAACCAATTCGCTGGTCTATCTAATGAATATGGTCGAGATCTGGCGCAATAAAGTCGACTACGGACCCGTCTGTGTTGTCTCGCCCGATGGTCGCAGCCGTGCCGGGGTTTACTGTGCGGCCAATGCGTGCATCGAGCAGGTCATACAGCACGGTGAGGTCGATGTCTTTCAGGCCGTCAAGACCGTGCGGCGGCACCGTCCACAGCTGGTCGAGAATATGACCGAATATAAGTACTGCTACGATCTGGTGCTACACTATGTCCTGCACTTTCTCAACAAGAAAGATTGAGCGGTACTTTCTACAAGTTTCTTTCTTTTTTTAACAGTTCGATGGCCGATTCTCTGGGTTACAGCTGTGCTGGTAACTACTTTTCAAGCTCGAGCTACTTTTTCGGGACTCGAATCGACTCAAGAAAATTGACGACAGTTTTGAGGAATGAGAAACTTGCTCAGCTGAACAAATCAAACTGCACTAAAATTTTTAAGGGTTCGAACTCTGCTCCTCAGTTTGAGCTGTGCTGGGTTTGATTTCTGAAGTTAAACTTCATTGTGAGAATCTTTTCGGATTGAGCGCAACTTACACATTTTTTAAAGGATTCGAACATCACTTCTTCACTAAGTGCAGCACCATCTGAACATTTTAGTTTGGGCTGTACCCAAGTTTGTTTTTGGGACTCGAATCCATTTTCTGCGAATTCAAGTCGCACATTAACAACTGTATGTCCAAGTGGTCCACATTTGATGCCTATTACATTTAACGTATGAATGTTGTATTTCTATAAAGCTGTATAGAGCTGAAGGAATCGGGGCTACAGTCGGCTTGGCACAGGCTTAAAGCAATAATACTGAGTATTTTTGTTGTGCACAACACAATATTTGGTTTGTGTTTTTATTGTCACTGGAAATGAAATTTCCAATTTAGTAGCTTTTCCTTTGTAGAATATATATAGTATATATCTACTTTATACATATAAATATTCAGTTTTGTGTAGGTCCCCAAGTTCCTAACTGGACCATAAGAATCAAATATATGGAAATCAAATGCAAAAGCTATATGATCTGAATCTGAACTGTATGTGCCATGTCTAATGCCCTAATTGTTGTTGTTATTACTATATATATAAATACATATACTATATGATGGAACTCTTGAACTATTACGATTAAATATGATTATGTTTACGATATATATGTATGTACTTATGTTAACTCTTTGAACATGCTACCTTATACAAATTGTTGATATATGTATATCTAATCTATACTATTTAAATTCACATATAATGATACATATATAAATGTTATATTCTTGTAAAGAAAAGAAAGAAAGGAACATGTTTTTAGGCTATCTACGGAATAAAAAAGTGTGGAAAATGTATTTTTTATTCATGTTAAAACCAAATGTATGCAGAAATAGTAACAGTTATTTATTTATAATAACATAATACAAAACTAATACAAATACAAAACTAATATTGATTTACACTCACACCCACACACACAGACACTCGCATATGTGTATGCATAGATACTCTCGTATATTTTCGCATTTATGCATTTGATGTAAGAAATATTTGTCTAACGATTCAAATGCATACCCAAAAGCAAACTGAAACACACGCACAACACTTATATATTTATATACAATGTATACATATATTCTTATATTCATGTAAATGTATTGAATTTATTTTTTTAAATGTGAATAAATGTGTATTTTGGAACGATTCCGTACGAAACTTTAGATTAGGTTACGAAAAACGGAGACCAAAAATCGGAAAAAAACTTAATTGAAATTGTTTTTATTTGTGCAGATAAAATTCTTTATTTTCAGCTTGGAAAGCGAAACGTACGAGTTCATATAAATAAATAACAGAGGCAATTGAATGCAAATATCTTGCCTATAGGTTTTCCATTTATTTAAACCAAAAAATAAAAATAAGAAAAATTCGTTTTTGCTGAGGTGCGAAAGAAAACAAAAACAAGACCAAAGCAAAATGTTTATTCTAATAGAAATTTAATGTGATGAATGAGCTGGTGAATTTGATGAGATCTTGGGCTTTATGGGTATGTCCATTAGCTTAGCATCCAGCTGGTTGATAGTCTCTATATGGCTTAAAGCACAACAATATTTTGTTTACATATCTCTGAGATCGATTATGCCATTTCTTAATCAGCATAAGAGTTGAGAAATATTCAGCTCCAGGTTGATGAATGTTTATGAAAATCAAAGTTTTTAATTCAAAGCAATTTTGTAGCATTATTTAAAGCAACTTAGTATAATTTTCCCTGTATATAAAGCATTTTTAATATCATGCAAAATTTGATTGCTCTAAAATAAATATTTACGATTTTCCGGTCTCTACTCTATGGAAATATTGCCAATCACTTTTGCTCTTCAATAAACTGATTTGATTACCTATTATTCCATAGTCTCTTAATTTTCATATGCCATACATTTTCATTGTCAAAATCCATTTTATCGCTGCATATTCATTAAGTTTCCATCTGAATCACCGTAATTCTTTTACAATGCCATCGCTCGGGTCTTTGTTTGTCTTTTGATCTCTGCATTCCAAAAGTGCGTCATAAACTGAAAATATCAATCAAAATATGAATTCATTTCATTTTTGCCGCGATTTTTGGAACGTAAATCGGGAAAAGCGAACAAAATTGCAGATGAGAGATAAACAAAACAAGATGCTCCACACAGTAATCGCAAAAAGAAAAAATATATATATTAAAACAAAAAAAAAAAAGAAAAAACCTTGACCAGATTACAGCTTAATGCGTACAAATCAAACAGAGGCCTCCATTATATAGATATCGTAGTGCGATAAGGCGGTAGTGAGGAAGGGGTTGAGCGAGGGGCGATGGAGAATTGATGGTGGGCTGCAGGGCTCTGCAAGGTGTGGTCGCTATAAAATCGATATATGACAGCACAGCGCTTGCTTTGGCCAGCAATAAAATACAACAACACAGAGCCACAGAGCAATAATAATAGTAAAACTTGAGCATGAATGACATCAGCAAAAATATAATGTGTATGTATTTATATGTATATGTATTCACAATGGAAAAAGGAAAAACATTGCGTTAAAAGCAAATATTTTCATATTTGGCAGAATTTGGCAGACTTTGCTTGCACTTAGCTTCGCTACTATCTCATGTGATCATATGGAAAGAGCATGAGACAACAATTGTTTTATTTGGTTTTTAATTATTTATTCTTTGTTGCAGCTTTTTGTCTATGACTCTATAGCACATATTGCTCGAAACTTTAACTAATTTAGTGGGATTTCTAGCCTATTTATAGTATTTAAAGAACAGTTGGTTCCGCGACGATCCAGGCGACTTAGTCTTTTGAGTATATTTGAGCCTGATATTTTGTTCATATGCAAGTTAGTTGCGATGATGAGATGATTCGGATGTACTGGTAGTCACTCATATCTCCCAGATATCAATTTAGTTTTAAGCAACATATAGTATATATGCTTATATAGGTATATGGCATATTCGAGTTTTCTGTATTATTATCTATGATTCGAATTACATATACAAGACCAAAAAGTATATCTGACACACTACATATGCAGCTTGGCTATTTTAAAACATTTTTGTGTTCCTTTTGTAGTAGCCTGTATTATTTTGATGAGCAATTCGATTTTGTTAGTTTTTGTTCTTCAACACATACGATAAAAACATCGAACTACTGCAAGAATGTCTTATTCTTAATATTTGTTTTCCATTGTTTTCAAAACATTGTGTTTATCATTCAATTGTTGTTGTTGAATATTTAGTGCTTAGTCCCTTAAGCATTTGCATAAACATATAGCAAAATCAATATTCCCGTTATACTTTATTTAGACTACTTTTAAAATACACAGTTGGGTAAATACTCATTAATGTGTATCATATATTCATAGTATATTATTTTATTATGGATGATGTACATCTATTTGTCTGTCTTACGAAACTGACTATAGCATATGTGCTCGTCGACTACTCACATAAAAATTACTTCGATTTGTTGTTGTCATGCGGCATGCTGAGATTATTTTTCGCCATAAGCAAGATACAGGCACGCAAAATAAAGCAATTAGTTCTTTTTGGAAAATTTATTTATGAGCTATTAATACAAAACGAGCGCGTGGCAAATCCATTCGGTGCTGCGAGGGGGTGTGGGGCGTGCTGGTGCTGCGTGGAGGCGTAGTGGCGTTGCGGAAAAGCTATTGAAATTAGTCACAGTTTTGCTGTTGGGAGCCGTTTTTAGTTTTAGTTAATTAAAAATTCAATGGCAATTAATTTTATAGAGTTGAGCGCCGACTACAATTTATGTCATATTATGTTGCAGGGGGTTGGGCGGCGTTTGGAAATGCTAAATCCCAGCTTTTAATTGACTATTGTACGGGTGCGTAGGGGAAGGGTATAGGAATGTGTTTATGTGTGTGTGTTTGTGTGTATAATTGTATATGGCAAAGGAAATTGTAATGAGAGATAAATTGTAATATTAGTAAAATGATATCATTGCAGCTAAACTAATTTAATTTGTATAATGCACATACAAAGTATATAAATCAACAAAAATGTGCTTAAAGTATATATTTATGCAAGTATTAAACAAACTGGCTTTACCTAAAATTTATACATATTTAAAAATATATTTTAGACACATTTGAAACAAATTCTTCTACTGCTTGCATCCCACTTTCATGAATAAGTTGTATATGGGAGCCACATATATTTATGCACATTCCTTAAGATTTACAACAAGAAAATATATAATGTCAGCTATTTAGCTCGTTCCAATTGCTTCCTGTCGTCTGCCTACAGCATTTTACATAAGAGGGTCGCATTCAATGTGGGCAACTTATGCATTGTTCATTTCCCAACTGCAAGCCCCCCTCGCTGCTCTCCCACAGGGACTATTGCCACACAATTACCTGCTGCTGCTGCTGTTGTTGTTGCTGTTGCAGCTGCCATGCCCCTATGGGCTTCCATTCACATAGTATTATTAGCCATTGTTTGAGGCATTTTGTAGCCCGTCGTCGTTGTTTGGCTAATTCAATTATGCAACGTCTACGTGAGTTTCAACTGTGTGGGACTGTTTGTCTCTGTAGGCGTGTGTATGTGTGTGTATGTGTGTGGGTGTGTGTGTGTGTTTAGGTTTGTGTAAATGCAATTGAAGTAAAGCAAGCACACACACACACACACTCAGGTCCATTACACACCTGCCTGCACACACTTGTGCGCATTCAGTTACGAATTCAACTGTTCGCCGCCTTTTCTTTTGCATTTACAGCCAGCGAATGTCTACATAATAATAATTATTATTATTATTATAATAATAATTATAATAATTACATGTAGATGATGCTCTTTCAACGCGCAGGCGGCAACGCGTCGGCCACGTAATACAAATGAGCGAATAACTGTTTTTCCTTGCTTACTGCATATGTGTGAGAGTGTGTTTGTGAGTATGTTAGGCTTTTATGTTTCACGTGCTTGGGGTGGAAATGACTGGTACTAATTTGATATGACATGAAATTAAATTTAAATAATTAAACAAATGCTTTATGTGAGGCTTCCACTGCTATTGCTATAAGTAGTTGCTGCCGCTGCTGTTGCTGCTGCTGCTGCTGCTACAATTTGCTGCTCCAGCTGTCATTTCAGACACCTCGGGGCATAGCATACTTTTGAGCGCCCACACATTTTAATTAAGTATTTAGCAGCCGGAAGCATAAGATTCATGTTGAGAAAACACAAAGCACAAAACACAGATCAAAGCTGGAATTTAAATTATATGAAAATAATTTGAATTAACGACAAGCATCCAAAAACATCGCAATGCTATCATAAATATTTGCTGCTGAGAACAGTAAATTATGAAATTAAATGAGCAATGCTATAACATCATTTATATTTATTAACATTTTGTTAGAGTAACGAAGATTAAGATTACAGTTTTTTGTTATTATCTTTTACTATTAAGCCATATGGGGAATAGACTAATATTTAAAACACAATACAATAATAATATAATGATGCCGGTTTCTATTCCGCTCCAATCTGTCATTGTACCGACTCGAGTGCTGGTTTATTTCATTAGAAGCCGTGGCCAGTTACAGCTTTCTAATCAATGTGGTGTTTCTTATAAACAATTCGCAGCCGGTAACCAGTCTCAAAATTTTATTCTGAACGACCTGAATTCTACGAATATTTGGCTTTCATCCGATATTGCTTCCTAAGATCCACACATGCTTGGAGAAGGCGAGTCTGCTCGGATTGCCTATCGGATACCTCAAAGATTCTCTATTGGAACATCCAGCAAATCATTTGAATTGTCTATTGGATTACCTATCGGATTATCCATCGGATATCCCAAGAATTTTCTATTGGATTACTCATCGGGTTTCCCAAGGACTTTCTATTGGATTGTAATTAACACATTTTTAGTTAGTTTTGGATAGCCGGATGGTTTGAGTTTCAGTGAGCTCAATCCTATATTATATCACTTTTTACTTGCCAAGTGTGGGACGTGGAATCTTTTTAAACCCCATTGGGGCTTAAGCCTAGTAGGCTTTGCTCTAGAATATTGCCATGGGCATGGTATTTCTTTGAGATCTTGAGATCTTCTTGTATGTCAACATATTTAATGTACCAAGGCGCACCTTTACGGGCATACATAGACGTTTTTATACCCTGAACCCATTTTCAATGGGAAATCACAAAGTGTATATATTCTTGATCAAGCGACGAGCTGAGTCGATTTGGCGCTATCCGTCTCTCT